ATATATTATATATATAATATATATATATATAATATATATAATATATATATATATATAATAGTAATATATGTGTGCGTGTGTGTGTGTGTGTGTGTGTGTGTGTGTGTGTGTGTGTGTGTGTGTGGCGTGTGTGTGTGTGTGTGTGTGTGTGTGTGTGTGTGTGTGGTGTGTGTGTGTGTGCGTTTATGTGTGCATGCGCGCGTGTGTTTGTGTGTATATCCTATAGTATGGCGACAAATAGTGAATGGGGGTTATTCATAAGCATGCATATATGAAGTGAATAAATGTGGCGCAACAGTTTAATGAAAAACGAAAGTAGTTGGAATTGAGGAGTATGCATGCGTAAGATCAACGGTACTACGTGTGACCGACATTGTGTGCGATTGTGTGAGACATTGTGTGCGATTGTGTGAGACATTGTGTGAGACAGTGTGTGAGACAGTGTGTGAGACATTGTGTGAGACAGTGTGTGAGACAGTGTGTGAGACAGTGTGTGAGACAGTGTGTGAGACAGTGTGTGCGATTGTGTGACTGTGAGACAGAAGACTCATGTATTTTCCATGATATTATATAATCGAACTAGCGGGATACCCGGCGTTGCCCGGGGAAATCAGTGGCGTTACTCAGTTGGTGACCGCTTGGTTGAAAGGAAAATACCCAAAAAAATCTAACTACCTATCTATCTATGCATCCATCCATCCATCGCATTTCATGCCATCCCATCCCATCGCACCGCATCCCATCCCATCCCATATCCCATCCCATCCCATCGCATGCCATCTCATCGCATCCCAGGCCATGCAATGCCATCCCATCCCATCGCACCGCATCCCATCCCATCCCATCCCATCCCATCCTATCCCATGCCATGCCATGCCATCCCATCCCATCCCATCGCATGCCATCCCATACCATCCTATCCCAACAGTAAAGAATCATAAGAAATCCAAAGATAAAAGTCATTAAAATAAAAAAGTAAAAAAATGAATTTATGAAATTATATAGAAAATATAATAATATTTGATATGTAACATACATAGGCTTCTGTGAAATGTTCCCGTCAGTTTGCGCTATCATTATCATCTACCATAGTTTATTCTGGATTTTTACTAAACGTTTAAATGTGGTAAAAATAATAATTTTGAAATTAACGGTGAATACGGCAGAAGTACATACTAAACAGTCCAAAATTAATAAAACAAATCATTTCCCGAGGTGGGATTCGAACCCAGAATCAATGGTTTAGGAGTCCGATGCTTTATCCAATCGGCTACTGGCCCGTTATGGTTATACACCAGCATGGATTCACACGTACGTGATGTATAATGTTAATCTGTACGCCCTCTATTAATGAATAGAATTTTTATAAATTTGTAACTTTTTAACTTTTTTGAAATTTTGTTTCTCCCACCTCCCAGACGAGCTGATTCTAAAAATATATTTAGTTTTTTCTAGGCTGCGGAGTTCTCCAGTTATGCGCGAACACACAAATTCGGCTGAACAACTTTATATATATAGAGGAAAACACCTGCAGACCTAACACAGTGCAGTAATTTAAAGGCGCGGTAATGAAACGCGTTAATTAGTGGAATGTAATCGTTAAGTTTGTCGTGAATGTGTTTACGCAAAGAAAATGTCGTTAAAAATCGACCGCCGCGCGATATATAAATTTATTAGAATTTTAATAGCTGTTGGCAGAAGTTGGGATGGCTTAATCATATTTAGCATGGAACGATGCATTAGTCATACTGCGTGCTTAAACATAAATATAATGAATGGAAAATGTGAGAGAATATACGATATGGTGAAACCACACGTGTATAGAAAGGGACACTACGTACATTCGTTAGCAATGTGAGAATCTCTATTTAATTCCAGAATATTTTATGTTTTAAATAGTGTTTAATAAAAAAATAATGTGCCAAATAGTTCGACAGCGTGTCACGACTACAACGCAGATGTCGTTCCGAGATGCGTTCAGGCGGTAGGCAGAGGAAGCGCTCTGTCATGCGAATATATAAACCTATATATTAAACAAAGACCGCATTTCGAATTAACTGTAAGATGACAGCAGGCTGTAATCTAACAGCAATCTAACGACGCGTGGATCCGCTAACGGACCCGCGTGCGGCGCGTGCGCATGCGTGTCGACCATCTGTCGATCTAATGAAACTGTCGTATGCGTGTGCGCGTCAGCGCGGTCATCCTCGCATCGACAAGCAAGTGATTACCGTTAATAGCAGCGTCGGGGAGGTCCCAGTGCCGCGGCCATCGTCCACTCCCTGTCATTTAGGACCTAACGACTTCTGTGATTAACACTTTGGCACGTTTCGCGATGGCGGCCATAAACGGCGCACAAACGGCGCGTAATAATGCCATGGAATTAGGTGTGAAAAGCATTGTAAAACTTGCTCTCGTGTAAATTACGCCGAGCAGTTCGATAGCGCTGGTAATTACAGAGAACAACGATTGTCGCACTATCCAAGGCCATGCCACGTGCAGTCAGTAAGCTCCGTGTCGTGACATGCTGACACGTTATATACGCGTGCTCGCATTCCGCAGTGCTTAGTGTATGCGCTATATAGTACGTGCACAATGTCACCATCACCGTGAATCCGTTTAAATATTTTCCATGCGCCACATTCGGCCCATTACAACGGCGCGTGCTCGTTTCCATAGCTGCTGTACTCAAAAAGCGAAATATAACGGCGGCGTCATAAATTGGCGTTTACAAAGTATTTAACAATCAAGCGCATTTGTGGCGGCAAGCATCACTACCTAACTGCACGTATACATTAGCGTCAACGCTAGTGTGCACTGTGGCGCATTGCTTATGATTAACGATGACTGCTGACATTAAGCAGACATGTGCATCATATCCGACATTTCTTACGTGCCTATACTCTAGCTACGATGATAGCATAACTACGGGATACCTGTCTTCCCTACACTCGTCCCCCGCCACCCCTCGACGATGACTTATGGAATTTTTAGCCACCTGGTTACTCTAAATATACGCAGTCGCCATCCAATTACTGTAAGCTAGAAAATTACAAATTCTTACCTGTCTGATACATTTGGGAGTATAAATAAGGTAACTTGATGAATTATTTGGCAAGACAATCATTAAATCCAACGCGGCAATTGCGTACGTAAACTATAACCCCCCCCCCATTCGTCACAGATCGCCAGTTTGTGAAATGTTTCATTTTATTTAATAATATTTCGCGTGGAATTTTATATTATTTGAACAAGTATAGAGATATAACAATGTTAACCAATATAAATATTCTAGTGTTTTGGTTATTAATGAGATATTTATGTTATTATTGGCCTGAAAGAACGAGACATTTTTAGCTGGTCATTGGTGCATGCGAAGCAGAGGCGGAATATGTATATCTACTACATGCGAATTTTCTACCAACTAGCTGATTTTATATGATACAAATACTAATGAATAAATACAACATTTTTTTGCATTGCGGTGAATTTGTGTATGATTTTGCGGCAACGCTCGAATGCGTGCGAATGGTTCTTTAATCCAGCGTGAATTTCTGTCGGTACCTGTAAATCATCGAAGATATCTCTTAGAATATCACATATAGGCATGGTATCACGAATCCTATCAACTATTTCTTGAATCGGAAACCAAAAACCACGTCTGGTTTCAACCTTCATATACTGGATGCAATATGTTACCAAACCTTTGAAACACGCATTGATCATTACATTACATTCTGGCAATTATGAAAAATACATCGATAAATTAAACAAATAATACTAGCACACTATAATATACCGTCTATTATAATTTACGTCAAACACGATTCTCAACAATTTAGTCATCGGGATTATCAATAATATCTGTGATTGCTGTTTTTAGGTCTATGGGATTAATTAGCCTTTTAACTTGCGAGAGCATGTGAATTTGGAGTGTTCACCCTTAACACTTCTACTTAATCAATAAACAATGCATATAATCGAACGCATAGATAAGTATAACGATATGATACGAGTTTACTCAACTATTGTAGGTGCAGTTATTGGTATGTATACACAGCTCAGATTTCGTCAGCTGGTATATCGCTCAGGTCCGTTCTATGCTACAACAGTGTTGATGCATTGCTGACGATGACAGCTTGATGAACACAGAAACCCAGAAATCACGAATCAAGATGTGCGAGAGATACATAACAAGTTTACGGTAATATTAGTTCCGTGAAAATTTATTCGGCGCTTCGTCTAATATAGTCTTCGTATATGAATCTTCGTCGAATACATATGGCGTCACGGTATATTGTGTGAGCAAAGCTATAATTTTGTTATACGTTAATTTTGAGAAATCAGCAATGATTGAAAAAAATTCATCCTCGAATCACGGTATAACGCTACATGTGATAGATGGGGACGTAGACGGGCCAATTTCACACGTGTAACTTCCTCATAGCAATGTACGTGTTAGAGCAGTTGTATCCTGATGGATGTAATCCTGATATCCATTATGTTGGTGTCATTGTTCACTGCTGGACTATAGATGGCTTCGGTTTTTATCATTCTAGCGAGAAGTTACTGACTGCAAACAGCAGCCAATCACACGATTGTGAATCTGGCCTGCTGTGGTGTCGCACACAGGCCTGTAGCATGTCTTCACGTGTTGCTACTGGGAGTACTGCTCACTACTGGGTTTATGCATTTCAGTGGAATTGCTACCTCGCGCTACAGCTGCAGCGTTATTGATGGACGGCGCGACCATATCGCTGTAGCCGTATCTGGCTTGTTCCTTTCTCCATTTGACTTTCAATTTTTATTGCCGAGTACATTACTGTATTCGTCACTATGACATCTTGCTGCGCCGCTACCGCTAGGATCGCATGAAACCACGTGAATGTAATGGTCTTCACAGCAGATGTCGCCGAGTAGGGAGACATTGAGTGCTTTTCACGCGACGCTAAACATGTCTTTCCGCCTTGACCCTTTTTTGCAGCGCACGTGATACGCACGATATATATATATATATATATATATATATATATATATATTAATTATCAAATAACATATAATGAAATAATAACACGCCGTGAAATAACTATGAAACCCATTTCAGTTGCATGACGTGTCCGAAATTTCAAAACACAAAGTCAATCACATATTTACGTCCTTTCACGAATATGTTGCATACTTAGGAACGTACATGTGTACGCGTAAACTATTGTGGCACCCAAACACATGCAAGCTCAGCTGTTGACTGTGTAAAACAGTACTTATGTTTATAACCTGCTTATATATATATATATATATATCAGAAAGACGCTGGTTTCTTGATTTAATATATATACCATATACTTTTAACACAACGCGCATCATGTCTACAAACTCGTTACGTGGCTAACAGGTGCGAGGCAGAAGAACGTTTCCTTGAAAGTACGGAGTAAACTAGGAATCACGTCTGTTATCGCGAGAAATAGTGAGAACAGTGATTGTATTAAATAACAAAAACGCTTTCCTTGGGGAATCATCAGAAGCAGTTATGTTAGAGGCAACGCATCGGCAGGTACATGCGCGCACACATTTACGCACACGCACAGCAAACTAATATATGAAAAATCTTCTATATCTATACAAACGCTTTCCTGCTGCGTATCTATCTATCTATATAATAATGTACGGGGCTGACGCTCATCAAGATTCGCGAGTGGTTTCGCTGATTCGTGGTTTGTGGTTCATGGGTATCAATGATTCGTGATTTGGCTGCATATCGCAAAGCCATTTCAGACACGCGAGTGAATTTAGCGACGCGCGCACGACAGACAAACGCGTGACAGCGTCAGCAGGCAACGTTCCCGCGTGATGGAGACAGCGTCAGCAGGCAACGTTCCCGCGTGACGGAATGATGTCATTCCGCGTCAGCTAACCTGGCATCTGTCGACACGCGCGCTCCACCAATGCTCGCATTGTCCGTCGCCGCGGTGCATGCGCGGCAGACGAGAAAAACGGCCATCTGTTGGTTTTTTACGCAAACGCGCTCCATTATAACTCTGCAAACAACCACACCCCCGTCACTAGTGCCCGATGCTTCGATTGCTGCAGCCATACACGCGGCGATATGGGAGGGAAGGGCGGCAATACTCGACTCGCTTATTTCGCGTCGAAGGCATGTATACTTATCCGTCGAAATATAGGGGCTTAGTTTACATTGGGCGGGAGGTTCAGTGGCGACGACGCCGACATGACGTATCACCAGCGAGTGTAGCTAGTCAATATAATGCCATAGCATGATGCGTACACATGGCGACGTAAGCTAGGTCTGCATGCGCAGAATGACAAATATGCCTAATTAACGGTGACAAGACGAAGGCAAACAATGACCAGGTTCGTGTTCCTCTGACACCTATCAATCTATCTATCTATCTATCTATCTATCTATCTATCTATCTATCTATCTATTTATCTATCTATCTATTTATCTATCTATCTATTTATTTATCTATCTATCTATCGATCAATCAATCTATCTATCTCCCCCTTCTCTCTGTTCGAGGAAATAACTGACGCTATTAATCATAATATCAGCGTATCAGTATATCAATAATATATAATAATCGTATATCAGCATAGAAATCACGGCCATGCACGAAGTACAATCAATAATTCGTACAACTGTCCTCCGCCATCAAATTACACAATACCAAATCTATTCAACCGAGAGCATACAGGCTTAATTAGACCCCAGGAGAACTTTGGAATTACGAACACATTAATTGGTTCGTATGCCAAATTAAAGGTTTGTTTACAAATTCATTGTTCTGAACTCGTCGTAACTCAATCCGCTCGCAAAGTGTTGAATCATTGGCGCGTGGTAAGCGTCGCCGTGTTCGTAGTCCGCGTTCGCCGAGATTAAAATCAAGAATAGAATGTCATCCGTAATTCTAGATGTTCGCAAGTCGAAGGGACGCGGTATATCCTATTTGAAGAGACTGTGCGCGGGAATATTGCTCCTTTGTTTGTTGTTTCTGCGCCCTCTACGACATGGGGCGCCCGCGTGAGTCTTGAATGGGGTCGACGCTGCTGGTTTCTAAACCTATGCCGGTGGTGAGATTAAGACGAGTTGAGCAGATTAGCACAAGCCATGCTGCGCGCGGTCACAATGCCGCCACAGAGGTGCAGCCATTAGCTAAAACAATGGCCGCAGGTGGCGCCCAGTGTGGATGACACACATTCGCGGGCGAAGTTCGCTGTTGAACTTTAGCTCCGTGCTGCTGCTCCCTGCGCCGCGAGCACACCCCCGCGCGTGTGCGCATTTTAAAGCGCGCCTCTGCTATCGAGTCACTCTGTTGAAGTTGGGTTGTAGCCCGTGGCACTTAAAAACCCTGGTATGTTGCGCCCACTGTTGGTATGTCGGGTTCCTGGACGTTATGAATAGAAATGCGTTACGTTAGGAAAATAGGAGAAATGTACAAGTCTGCCCTGCGCTGCTTTTTCTAGAAGAACGCGCGAGGTCTGGTGCAAGTTGAATTGTATTAAGATGCTCGAGCATATTTCGAAGTCACGAAACTCAGGGCAGGCCGCATTTAAAATGACGAATTTATTCAAATTATTTAATAAGCAATAATGTCACCAATACTATTATCTTACTAACGTGTTGCGGGTAGAGAGACAAAAGATAGACAGAGGGAGAATAGTAGAGGGATAAAGAGCCAGAGAAAGATAGAGAGCAAGAGTTCATGTGAGAGGCAGATAGTGAGAAACGAGCGCGAAGAGAAAGAGAGGTAGGGATAAACAGATCGATAAATAGATAGCGAGTGAGAGCACGTGTGAGAGACGTAGAAGTGAAGGAGGGAGGCATAGATGCAAAATATAGATATAAGATTTAATTTTAAGATGCAGGTTTTCGAGGCGCACATCTCTTCATCGAGCACACAACAAAGAATATAACAGTGAACACGAGCGCGGAGCACAATAGCGCCTATCTCATCTCGCAATCTTCCTGTAGTCGTGTATTCCCCGTAGCAATGTCTATCTAGTTAGTTATTCAATCACTGCATGCGGGCGAAGTGTTCGCAAACAATGCTGCTAACCATTCGAATACACCGTCTGGGAATGACGCCGATTGACAGAACAGCCTTTGATGTGTGTGTATGTGTGTGTGTGTGTGTGTGTGTGTGTGTGTGTGTGTGTGTGTGTGTGTGTGTGTTGTGTGTGTGTGTGTGTGTGTGTGTGTTGTGTGTAATTTTTTATTTTTTTTTTTTTTTTTTTTTTTTTCTGTGTGTGTGTGTGGTGTGGTGTGTGTGTGGTCGTGTGTGTGTGTGGCGCTGTATGTGTGCGTGCGTGTGTGGCGTACGTGGCGTGCGTGCGTGCGTACGCGTGTGTGTGTATGCTATGTGTGTGTGGGCTGTGTGTGTGTTGTGTGTGTGTGATGTTGTTGTGTGTGTGTATTTGTGTGATGTGTGTGTGTGCTGTGTGTGTGTGCGTGCGTGCGTGCGTGCGTGCGTGCGTGCGGTGCGTGCGCGTGTGCGTGCAGCGCGCGCGTGTGTCTGTCTGTATTGATTCCCTCATCGCGTATAGTTTTCAGTCTTCGCATGCTCGTCGCGTGCATGATATATGCACACATTGTCGGCAGCGGCCACACGCCGCCACAAAGAGCGAGGTGATGCTCACTGGTCCGCCACTCTTAAGTCGTTCCTTATTTGTGTAATTGGGGAAATATTTACCTAATTCGACGCGCGTCCGTGACCGACTTTACAGAGGACTCGTGTCCCGTTTATAGTTATACCCTAAGAGCATGCGCGTTTGTGTGCGTGCGTATACGTAGACGTTTACGTGCGCGCGCGTCTGAGTGTATGAGTGTGTGTGTGTGTGTGTGTGTGTGTGTGTGTGTGTGTGTTTGTGTGCGTGCGCGTGTGTGTGTGCCTGCGTATTTAGGTGTGGTTAAGTGCGTGTGCGCATATATACAATACCAAATAATACGGCCTCCCTTTTAGAAAATTATTTTTACGAAATTCATTTCCTGACGCTGTGTGCGTAGTGAATGAAGACGCTCAAACCAGGTGCCTACACCGCTGCTGGTGGTCGCACTAGCAACCGAGCCAGGATATGCTTTAACTGATGTAAGTCGATAGCTACATCCCGCGTGTCGACGATTCAACGCCCATCAGTATGCTAATCGCTTACACCGTCTGAGATACTCATGATCGCTGTTAATACGACACATTTACGACGCTCTACGAGCGACGGTGTAGTGGGTGATATCATACGGTGATACGGTATCACTCTGGAGGCATTCCTGCGTAGTCGGGTGATGGGATCGGCGCGGGGTGGTGGGGGCGATCAAGGGGCAGCATAATTGCAACGCGCCTGCCGGCAGTCGAGGGGGTGACGACGCGTGGGTGATGGGTGTACGCGCGTGCCTGCACGCGCGTATGGGCGTGCGTCGCCTGCGTACGTGCGTGTGTTCGTGCGTGACGCGATGGCATGTCTACTGCGACACAGGAGGCAACTTGTTCCGTAAAGGCGGTTAGTCCACGTAGCCTCAAGTGATTTTCATGGGGCAAGTGCACAAATCAAGGTATCAATAGGACAAATAGTTTACGTGGTCTCCTATGTATGTTATCAAGAGATCTCTAATAATACATGTCTTATTAGCTCTTGATTTATACATGAATACAACCATTTTTGAAGTTTTGAATATGTGCAAAATCGAGGGTCGAATATAACACAGCTTCCTGCAAAATAATAAAGATCACGGTGTTATGTCTTTGTACTGGATCAATTCTGTATCACTGAGACTCGATAAAGAGTGGAAATTTGTGATTCCAATTTAATGAAAAGAAGATTTACTTATGGTCTAGTCTTTCAGCTGCAAGAGGAATAACATAGACCACACGTAGTAGTATCAGAAATGAAAAAAGTGATACTTATATCTATAAAATTCAAATACAGATAATAGTAGGCTAATTAATATCAAGTTGAATTATGCATGACAAAGCACAAGATATAGCGCGATATGATTACAATGACGTCGGTTCATAAATAGCATATTTAGCTATGCA